AAACTTATGGTTGTTGATACGTTCTCTAAGAGTTGTTTGTGTATGCTGTACATATTGGTGGTTGTATTTTTACACTGTATATGGTAAATGGTATTTGGGGTTGTGCAAGTAATTTCTTTAGAAAGTTTAAAGTTTCCCTAGTTACTTGTCAGAAAGAGAGTCAACAGGTTTTATGAATTTGCAGGTTTGACAACGAGCTTTATTACACGAATGACAACCATTTTTTGGTAGAATGTAATTCACTTTTACATGAACAAGGATATCTTTTAGACTTTTGCTTTTTTCGGAAGAAGACAACAGGAACTTCGGGAAATATCTTTTAATGCAGTCATTCAGTTGTAATAGATGAAAATGTTTTTTCAGAATCGATTGAACTTTATATAGATCGTTATTTAAATGTCAGAAATGTATATATATATTCTGTGTAGTAAATTTATAATAAATCTAAGAACCTTAACAATAATTCATTATTTGTTCATTATTTGTTATATGTTTATTATTTGTCAGTATATATACTATAATTTAAAAATGTGTAGTTTTGATTCAGAAACTATTTTCTATTGAACATTCTCATTAAAGATGACTGCTGTATTCATGACAGTGATTACAAAGCACTGATTTTGAACGTTTTCAGCTTATAAATTCATTTGAAAGAGTGTATCAGGTCAGTAAACTTTACTATACTAAGAATGTAAATCTAAGACTTTTCCAATCAATAACTTTAACTTCTACTAAGGCACGAGCCCAACGTTCCTTTATAATGAGACTTTTTTGTACCTTTACAAAAGGCTTGTTTATAAATCAACTTCGGTGCATTTATGACTTACACTACTGAAAAGCAGCATTGTCATGTAATAATTCATAATGACATATTACTACGTACAGTGTATGCGTGTGTAGTAAGTTGTTTAATTTATTTTCATACGAACTCAATAATAGCAGGATTTTCTTTTCTTGGTCAATGATAAAGTGCACCAACTGTTCGTGGGGTTTTATTCTATTTCTAAGCATTATTTGTTAAAGAACGTTCATTTTTCAGACAGTCAAAGAGTTGGAAAAATAATTCATCATCCAAATATTCTGTATTATGTTTTTAAGATGTGATGTGTATTTACCCTCTTTTGTGTTTGCTCGTAGTTAAGCACAAAGCTACACGAAGGGCTATCTGTGCTCTGCCCACCACGGGTATCGAAACCCGGTTTCTAGCGCTGGGAGTCCACAGACGTACCGCTGTGCCACTGGGGGGGGGGGGGCTTTTTTCGATTTTAAGCACCAGATAAGACCAATTTTAAACTTTTTGTTTATTTGTTTTAGAGCAAAGCCACATTGGATCATCTGTTGGATCCATCGTGGGGAATTGAACCCCGGATTTTAGGGTTGTAAGTCTGTAGACTTATAGCTGTCCCGCTGGGGGACGATTGTAAACTGACAGAGGTGCCGGAGTATAACAAAATGGCAAAAACGCTTTAGGTGATTGATGCGTTCAGTAATGCTCAAACGCAGAAGAGAGTAGTCCGTTTTCAATATCTCTATGAATGAAGATTAGGGCATTTTAAATTTTGTTCTACTAAATCAACATGGAAAATGCTTGTGAACAAATGAATCCGTAACAAACGGCTCTTTGACGCAACTGATATAGAAAATTATCAAACATAATCCAATGGCATGAGCTTTCGCATCTGCCTTTGCAGATGATGCTTCGAGACTTACTCTAAAATCTTATAAATGCTTAGTGAACAATCAGATACTGCTTTTGAACTCTATAATCTATTTCGCTTCATATAAATAATAACTACACTATCAAAGAAATCAGTCTCTCATAGCAAACTTCAAATTATTATACTGTATTTGTCTAGAGGAATTTATTAGCTGCTTACTAAAATGTATTTAGAACAGTACAAATATACTGGTATAATCCGAATCTGTGGTACCAAAATTAATGTAGGTAGATAGAACCTAATGAGAATAGATTGGTTTGTTATTATCCAAAGATCTCGCTTCTATATCTGACTATTTACTAATAAAGAAATTTCATCTATACACAGTTTTCTTGAAGATCCCCCCTCTGGTGGGACAGCGATAAGTTTACTGGCTTATAAAATTAAAATCCGGGGTTCGATTTCCCGCTATTGAAATAGCAGATAGCTTGTTATGGCTTTGCTCTAAAACAAACAAATATTTTTTTTTATTGTTTTCCCCGATTGTGCAAATTTGGTCTTAAGAATATGTTTCATAAAATAACTTTCGTAGAAGTTATCCAACTGAGACAACGAACTGAATTTAAAATTCCTAACAATATTTTCTTCACACTTTACAAAACTCAATATTTTACCTTTTGGTAGTATTGCTGAAATAATAAAACACTAAAGGAAAATTAATGTAGCTTGTTTTGTACGTTATACAAGCAAGTATTGATGGTCAGAGATCATCATTGTTAGTGAAAGATATTTTAGCATGACCATGAAGAGGGTGTAGAGTACAGAAAGTGCTATGACAAAAAAGCTATAAGGCATTGAAGATATGTTGGTAAAGAAGACTTATAGTAAATAACGAAGTTATTGTTACTAAGGAGGTTCGGAAGATCTGCTGTCGAAGAAATTACATGATGTGGAAAGAAATGTGTGGTAGGAATAGTACAAAATAGTTGTAGAGCGTAATAGATGTCATCGAATAATAGGCGTCTTATCTGAAAGACATGCAAGAGAAGAGAGGAAAAGGTGTAGAGAACGTACTAGCAAAAATATTGCATAGAGTGCCGGAATAGAAGCCGCAAGTTGGAAAGAATGAGTTGAAGATACAGAGGATGTGTTGGCGAAAGCGCATGGTGTGATAAATATCATAACGAAGAAAGTTCAGGGTGTGGAAAGAATATGCTGGAGAAACCGTTCAGTATGTGTGACAGGAAAGACCATACAGAACGTTTTTCAGTAACGGCCGCACAGGATGGATGTGTAGATAGTGTGTTGACAAAGAAGGTGCATGGTATAGAAAGTGTGCTGACAAAAAAGGTGCAGAGAGAGAGAACGTATATTGGTAAAGCACAGTGTAAGAAGGATGTACCAAAGAATAAGATACATGGTTTTGGAAAGAGCTGTCGAAAAGAAGATGCATGGTGTAGGAATCAAAGAATGTGCTATCGAGTGCACGGTCAGTATATATAGCTTGGTGATTAATACCACTGTTGTTGAAAACAAGATATTATAGGAATAAATAGTACTGCTGTTTTTTGAGCCAATTGATCGCGAGAATTAATTAACATCACTACTATTCAAATTAGTATACCACGAGGCGGTTGATACTGTAATTAGTATTTATATCAGTGTAGCATATTAACTGGTAACAGCTGTTGCTATTATAATAGCAGTAGGCCTATACAAAACATATTAAAGCTCCATTTATATATATATATTTTTTTGTTTGCCTATGCTCTACTTAATTCAATTTTGGTAAAACTATTGTAAAATCATTCGGTCACTCATTAATTTCAGTTGTCTTCAAGCGTTTTTTCACAAAAATGCAGAGACTCTACTTTTGATACGTAAACGTCCTATTTATCTTTTACATAATTAGCACAAATATTTAAATATTCGAAAAATTTACTTTTTTCTACCTAAGTGGCCCTTGGGATAGTGTAGTTCAACTAGATCGAAAGTAAGTCGTTACACGCCAAAACTTAAATGTCTTTATTCAGCGATCTTTAAATAAAGAATAAAAGTGATTTGTTTGTCGTTAAACACTAAGCTACAGTGGGCTATCTGTGCTCTGCGGTATCGAAACCCAATTTTTTGCGTCATAAGCTCTCAAACCTACCGGGGGGGCAGGCCTAAGGCTAACTTTTCTGCTAACGAACAAGTTTATTAAAACATTTCCCAGACTAAAAAAAAAATAGATCTTTGAAAACGTCATTGTTTAAGTGTATTTGGCGTTCAGAGATGGATATGATATTTCTTCAAGTTGTACTCGGTCTGATTCCGTGGTGATTAAACAAACAAATCAGTTACTACTACTGTTTAGAGCCACGACAGGTTTTAGTCACGTTGTGTTTGTGAAACTCTTGAACCGCTGGTTCATTTCAAATCTCGAGTAAAGATGGAAGATGGAGAAAGGATTTAGTTTTAGTTTTTTTCATGACCAGAAATATTGATCTCTTTTTATCATTTGAATGTTTATCTACTTATAAAAATGTTATTATAAAATTTAAGTCATATTAAAATAAAAATTGGGATATAATGCATTGTTTCATTTGATTATCAAAACAAGGCCTGAAACTTTTGTCACAACTTGAAAGCATTATAGGTACATTGCCTACAGTGAAAGAGAAGTATTTAATAACATCAATTCTTATAACACCCCAAAACGTCTTTATTTTGGTGATTGGTATACGAGATAGATAAAGGATTTGCTTGTAGAGTCGTACAACACATCACATAACTCCATGACTTTAAAATGGTGATTTTATTGTTTTTGTTGTCATTTTCAACTACTAAACTCAAAAATTGATTTTACACTCTCCTTGGATTTATTGTTACTTTTTTAGTTGAACTTCAAAACTGGTTTTTCCAAACCTAATTTAAAATTAAATGTTGAAAATCATGTTTAAATTTTGTGTGTTTGTTTACTATATTTACCTGTTGCATTTTATAACAGGGACAGGATTGTCCAGATAACGAAGTGGAAGTGCAAGTTGTATGAATGTTGAACGTTTTTACTATAGGTTCAGGTGCTTTAAATCAAATAATTGCAAAAACAAACAAACAAAAGTATATAATGGACTAATATGAAACTAAATGAAGAGCTAGAAATCCAGATACGTCTTGTTTGGCAAGATTTCTGCAATAATAAGGAAATAGTTTGAAATAAAATGTTGCAAGTTCATATTGATATTTAGATACAGTTTTATCCTTCGTTATATTTGTGAGATATTAATATTAAATACGCTGTTACCATTGTTGGTTTTGTCTTTTCTACAGTGTTCATAATCGTCTATGATTTATCTTTAGATAAAGAAACAACTATGAAAGTCATAGTTTTACTGTTAGCAGCCGTTTTGATGGTACTTCTAATCGACTACACAGATGGTGAGAAACATCAGCACGAGGAAGGTAAACACAAACACTGGAACCACAAACATCATGGCAAAAAGGAACATCATCATCATCACAAATTCAGAGATAACGATGTTAAAAGCAAGAAGAGCAAACGTTTTGAAAAAGAATATAAAAGTCAAGAAAAAAATATTGGAGAGTCCCCAATAGAACAGAAGAAAATAGATGAACAATTCAACGAGTAAGTGCTTTTTAACGGTTTTATTTTGTTTTGCTTTTTAATTTATAACGGTTCGATATAACTTTCTCTTTATAATTCTGTTTTGAACTCAATTCTTTGAATTAGCCAAGAATCGGGAAACACCGCCTCTATACTGATCAAGTCCTACTTTAAACAGTGGATTTTATTTGTCATCGATGTATGTATAAAGTTATGTTGCCCTCTAGTGAAACATATGGTAAACATTTTAAAGGCGGTTGTGGTTTACAAGTTGTCTTATCGACTGTATAAGGTTAAGGTGTGTGTACATATGAATACACTTATGAAAACAATTATGAAAATGCACAAGCGATACACATACTACAGTCAAAAACAATTAATAATAACAACTATATGGTAAATTTATCAATGGTATGAAACATTATTACAGAAAATACAAAAGAACAAGAGTTATTTGCATAACGCCTTAGTATTATTTATATAAGTCCTTTGCTTTAACAATGTATTACACGTTGTTTTCACTCTTCCACATATTTATGAACAGTTGTGTAATATTGTTTCAAAAGTCCTATAGTACTCCCTACAGTTCAGTCAAATTGTTTCATCACCTTTTGACCTTTTCAGTTTTTACATAAGCCCATACAACCTCAAGAGCGTCCATACTGGGTTTTTATAGCATGGTTATCAGTGTTCCTTTGGCGTCTTTACTGTCAAATATTGTTTTACTACACTTTCTGTATGCTTGAGATCATTATTTGCCTAAGAAGCATATGTTGATAAGTGTCAAACTTGCTGAATTTTTAGTAAGTTGTACATTCTCCCGTACGAATATATAAATAAAATATCTGAGTAACTAAATTATCATTGTAAAAAATGATAGTGTTGAAAGTTTTTGTTCATAATAGGCTATTAAAACACCTTATAAGTATCTTGGGTTGTTTTACATCTTGACCTCAAACCACAGCCTTGAAATACCTAGGGTTTATATAAGCGTTGCAAACCCAAAATACGTGAATATTAATGCTATGTTTGTTATCATTTTAGGCTTAATGTTAACATTATTTAAAATCGATATAATTTAATTTTAGTATTTATGGATTTTAGGTTAAATCCTGAAGCATTAAATTATTTGTTTCGTTAGTCACTGCTTTTAAAGTTTATTGAAAATTGTTGGTAAGGCCAGCCTCAGGCGATACGAAAGTTTCACCTCTAAAATCTCTTTCATAATCTAAATAACAATTGATGTGATTTTGGTTGTAGTATTTTTCATCAGACCAGAAGCAGTTCGTCTGGCGTTTTTGTTCTTTTACTACAACATTCAGACAACTAATAGTAACGAGGAAACAAGATATGCTCTACATAAAAAAGTTTAATGTTTGCTATAATTTTCGTGAGTTTTAAAATATTTAACTTGCCACAACTTTCTGCAAATGAATGCAGGACTGAAGTTTTAACTTAAGTATTTGCCAAAAGTGTTGTAAGTAGTTTCAGAAAAAACGGATACGTTATATTCTAAGACACATTTATGTTTTCTTATATATTTTAGCGTATTACAAACTTTGCATATTTCCAAGTGTATATAGGTTTGAGTATATTGTAAAAAAAAAATATATATATCGAGTATGCAAATCGCCAGTTTCGTGACAACCAAAATAGATATAAATCCACGGTGAAACGGAATATATAAAAGCAACATTTTGTCATTGTTTGGAGTTTTGTAGGTAGTGTGATACCACCGAAAATTGATCGTTTTTGATCCAACGTGAAATATTCATACACTCATATCGGCCCCCCAGTGGCACAGCGGTATGTCTGCGGACTTACAACGCTAGAACGCACAGATAGCCCATTGTGTAGCTTTGTGCTTAAATACAAACAAGCACTACACTAATATCATAAAGATGTTTTCAGATCGGCGATTTAGAATTTCCAAGGCAGTGGTGTCCCTTACACTTCAGTAACGACATTAGAAAACAAAGTAGAATAGATAAACTTGGGACACCAGGACAATCCAGAAAAATACCTGCATCACGTTGTACCCCCACACCCCGAAGAAAGCAAAGTTTGGTGTCTTTTAACAGTCAAGAGTTCGCAAAGAAAATCCTTAAGCCAGTGTCAAAAGTCATCTGCGTGTGTCATGCAACGTACGCAACATAATTAAAAAGGAGCTCCATCTGGAAAAGCGAAACAAGTTATACCCGTTCAATCGTCGAATATCTCAGTAAGCTGGATAATAAAATCAGTGTTCATGCTACTTGATACGAAAACATAACGGTGAAATCAGCGCCTATGACATTCTGTGTGATCGAACTGTTCAATAGGACGACGTGTGGATTATAGAAAGCCATCAGAGAAGAGTGGTGTGCTTTTGCAATGGAAACTCTACGAAGCAGAGGTCGTCAAATAGAGCATTGCATGACCTTACGTGGAGACATGGATTGTAACGACGTGGTAGGGCTCCAAATTCGTTTTAATATTAAGGACTCGACCAACAGTAATACGATTAGATCTACTAAACACTATAGTACAGCTCAGTTTCTAAAAAGTAGCTTTTATCTAACACCTAGGAATAAGATATGACATTTTATTTCTATCATTTTACAATCTTATCCTCAATTAATAGTTTTCTTATATTTTACTTATAAACATAATTATCAGTGTGAAAGATTAGAAAGTGCTAATATTTACAAGTAATAATAACCTATCAGTATAATTATCAGTGTGAAAGATTAGAAAGCGGAAGAATGGGTTATTATTTACAAATAATAATAACTTAAACCAGTTAAAAACAACAGTGTTGTTACCATTAACAGAAAAAATAAACTATATTTGAAACTTTTATAGTAAGTTGGAATATATTAGTAAGATTGTAAGGCTAGGCAAAGATCAGAATAATATTCATAAAACCAAACAACAAAGCTATTAAATGAAATTAAAACAAGAAGGCTTTGTCATAAGGCTGTTATATCATTCATTAGCCGCTTTAGGTATGCGACGGTTGAGCGGATATACCGTGGAATCAACTTATGCACACTTGTCTTGTGTCGCTTTTATAGACTGATATCTTTCTTGATTATGGTAAATAGTGTTGCCTGAGGCACGTGGACAGCTTTTGCTACTGACATTTGTGCTCGTACTTTCTCATCTGTTACAATATACCACTCTTTGATTGCCACGGCTGTGGTATGACTTGTTGCAGGTTCCTTTCTGAATGGTTCTGGTTTCCCAAGTTTATCCATATTTTGGTTTTCAATGTCATTAAGAGCAGGGGATACCGCAGTCATGTTAATTCTAAATACCGTATCTGAACATATAGTTATGACTTGAGTGTATGAATGTTTTGTGCCTGAAATAGCTGTTACATACCCTTCCCAAAATTGATAAATTTTCGGGGGGACACACTACCCAAGTAACACCATATAATACCAAAATGTAGTTCTGATACATTCCGTTCTACAGCGATTTTATATCGGTAGTGGTTATCTAGTGATTTGCTCGTTTGCATAATTAAAATGGTTTTAATACAACGTACTCAACCTCTGTATATTTGGTAAACATGATGGACTTTCAATAGTAAAAACTAATAAAGCAAAAAAAGTAGAACACTTTTCTTGGGAAAGTCTAAGTGAGTGTCAGTGAAATGTTCCTCGGCAAACGTCTGTAAGCTATAGATATAAATTCAACCATTTTGTAGAAAAGCACTTGTGCTTCTCCACTACAAGTAGGATATACGTATGTACGCACGGTCTCACGCGACTGCCGCATTACCTTCCACACTGCTAACTCAGCGATGAACTGTCTTTGTTCTGAAACAGATGTCTAAAAATGTTCTCTGCTGAAAACCAGATTATCTCGATTGTGAACGATAAGCGTCCGCAAGATGAATAAAAGCTGAATGTTCGTCGGAGAAGCTGTGCTTATCTGAGTGTGATGTTTCTATTTTAAGTTTTGGCTTTATTTCGGAGAACTTAAAAAAAAACACACAATTTGACAGACACTGTGGTTACGTATTAACAGATTAGTGAATGACTTTGTGAGGCATACTACATTAAAATAAGGTTTGGAAATCTTGTTTACAAGTGCTGTCGACACAGTAAAATAATACAGCATCGTGACTAGGATAGAGTAAACACATAACAACTGTGTGACCAGAATTACAAGTAGCAATTTATTGTTTGCAAAATAAACGCGAGACACGTACTCGTCAGACTTTACAGTACAACACAATAACTACATTTCATCATTATTGATTAAAAGCTATTACAAATGGAACTCCGGCATTCAAACAGATGTTTTCGTCCTTTTTAATATTAATATCGCTTAAAGGCAGAATAAAAGCATCTAAATTGAAAACTTGCAAGAAGACGTATTCTAATATTATTCTGGTTTCCAATTCCCTTAATCACATTTCTAAGCATTAAAAAATAGGAAGTCGTTCAACTTGAAATTACTTCGAAAAAATCCCCCAGTGGCACAGCCGTACGTCAGCGGACTTACAACGCTAGAAACCGGGTTTTGATACCCGTGGTGGGCAGAACACAGATATCTTATTGTGTAGCTTTGTGCTTAACTATAAACAAACAAACAAACAAATACCTCGATAAAATATTGTTTTAAAAATGTAATGAATTACTATTATTATTATTTTTGTTGCTAACTTTGAATCTAGACGAAAGCGCATTTTAATAGTGGTTATGTTAATTTTTTGGTCATAGGAAATGAAAATTATTTTTTTCAGTATCGATACTTAGCGAACAGTTCAGAGTTGAAACTAAAATATCCATGTTGGAGGTTTGCTTACTTTGCTTCATTTCAGAGCAAAGCCATATTGGACTATCTGTTGTGTCGATCGCGGGTAATGAAACCCGGATTTTAGCATTTTAAGTCTGTAAACCTACCGCTGTCCCACTGGGGGACTCCATGTTGGAAGATATTTACATGAAATAACGCCAACAACTCCCACTTTCATGGTAAAAATAATACAGTAAAAAAATACAAATAACACGATTTATGTTCATGTT